ACCACCTCAATCCCAACGTTCAACAACGTTCTCATCCTAAGAATTCTCATAAACAAGTACACAGCCCAGAACCCATGGACACATCTTCAAGTACTTCAACCAGAAGCCAAAGAGGAAGATCTTCAGTTCCAAGACCACCCCATTGAGAAGACCAGTCTAGCCATATTTTTATTATTAATCTCCACATCTATTGGTTACATCATTTACCAAATTTTAAAGAAGCTAAGAGAAGCAAGAAGACGTAGAGAAGAAGAAGCAGTTCCGGATTCGCAAACTTTGGATCCCCCGTTTGCTCATCATCGGCAGGGAGGGGCTATATAGCTAGAGCCCCTCGTATATCTCCCTAATTGGTGTACTTATATCTTATCTTTATAAACAACCCCATATTATAAATTCTTGTTTGTGCCCTTTAGGCATCAGTTTACATCAGCTATTACTTTAGGTTACATCTATTAGTCAATCGCTTGTAAGCGTATCAAATCGCCTGTAAAACGTTTTTTAAAAACGCGAACTCGCGATGCGATACCTAAATTCAACTGTAACAAACTCTTTTGTAGTCAAGAACAAAAAATGTTCTGAAATCATTTTAAGGAGTCTCTGAAATGTCAAAAAACTATATTTTGGCGTGTGTTTGTTTTCTATCGAACATCTCATCCACTCAACGATTTTTCAGTGTTGTTGTACGCTAGGTGACATAACCTATCTTTACATCCTCGGTGTCCAATCATCTTAAATAGGAACGTGTAAGTTCTTATGACATCCGAAACAACTCCCGACTAACTTCCCGCAACAAAATTAAGTCCGCTGTGTCCGGCATACCCCAAACTGAAACTAATCCCAGTCGTCATTATTCCATAATTTCAACCGTAAACTCATTGCAGATGTTCCTTTATGACTTTACGACTTCGCTGTAGCATCTGAGTGTAATTTTGATGCATGCAACCGTCTACAGATTATTCATACCTCCGCATCTCCGCACCAGTCTCTACGGTTGATTTACAGGACTTAATAAAATGACTTGCACGGAACAATGAAACTATATTTTATAGTAAGTAATGAACATATTGTCAGCTGCAGGTTCCGCTATGATTCAACGCCTATCCTATAAGCGATTTTTCAGCAATACAATGCCAGACTGCATGTTGCTAGAACATACCTGCATGAGTCAACATCGTATCAAGCGTTTACCATGGCCACCACGATCGTCTGACCTGTCTCCAATTGAACATGTCTAGGACATGATAGGTCGCAGTCTTTAGCAGCTCCTACTGATGCAGACCGCCTTATCAGCACGGTCGTTACCACCGAGAGTACAAGGCCTAACAACAGACGCGTGACGTCACCACGAGTAGGCCGGTCGGCCGGCCGACAGCACGGCGTGCCGTACATCAGCGCTAGTGAATAATATGTTATTATTGCAGCATATTTAATATACTCTAACTGATGTAAATAACAAATATAATATATATAATATATAATATATATAGTAAAAATTAGAATAACGAAAATTAAAGTGCCAAATTCTGAATATGTACAAATAAACATTTATCTACAGCCATGTAAATGTTGCGGCCTCATGTGAATGTAGTCAATTTACGGATGCGGATGAACAATGCTTGTTTTATTATCTGGAGAAAAATGTGCCATCGCTTTACTATTCAGTGCATTATTATCACTTACAACACAAAAAATTTTATAACCAAGTTCTTCTAATCCAATAATAACTTTTTTCGTCATATTGTATAATAGATTAAGATCAATTTTAGAAACAGGACAGATTTGAACAACTTCTTTGAAATTGGAGTAGAAGCTTGAAATCATAAACACATAGGCTGTTGTAGCTAATAAGGTATTATTAATTGACGTTCCAACAATATTACCGTCTTTGAAATCTAAATATGGCGGAATGTGTATTTCATCCATTAATAAAATGATGTACTCCTCACCAGGTTTTACAAATCTGAAAAGGTTTTTTGCATAGCCTAAAAAGTTATATCTCTCATCGGGAACTGGATCGACCATCAATGTATACTAAGTGACATATAAATCCGAACACCCAGTTTAAATGGTTTTATTTTAATAAAATTTTGTATAAGTACTTAATGAAGCATAATAAGTAAATGGTAAAAATTTCAAAATGATTGCACTGCTTTAAAGCCCTTTGACCTTTAATAATGTGTGGATGCACCCTGATGTGCTACGCATTCTCCAACACGCCTAGGCATGCTTCTGATCAGGTGGTCAATGTCTTCCTGTGGTATCTCATTCCAGGCAACCACCAACTCCTCTCGAAGTGCAAATTGAGCAATCTCCTACCCATCATAACCCACACGTGCTCAATTGGGGATAAGTCGGGAGATCTTGGTGGCCATGGTAACAATGTGACATCATTATGTTGAAAGAAGTCTATTGTGACTCTTGCAACATGTGGTCGGGCATTATGTTGTTGGAAAGTTGGATCTGCCAGGGTGTCAAGATAGTGGTAAAGATGGGGTTCTAGAACTTCGTGGATATAACGCTGCGCGTTCATGTTACCTCTGATGAAGATTAAAGGTGACCTGGACCCATAATCTATAGCACGCCAAACCATAACTCCAACAGTGTGATGAACATGTCTTTCAACAAAAAACTGTGGATTCCTCCTTTCACCACGTCGCCTTCTAACCCTGGCATGACCATTGTGCATGCCTAAACAAAATCGAGACTCGTCACTAAAGACAATACTGTTCCATACCTGATCCCAGAGTGACCGTTGTCTGCACCACTCAAGGCGATTACGTCGGTGTTCTCGAGTTAAAGGGAGGACCCAGTGTGGCCGGTATGAAAACAAGCCAAAACTTCTCATTCGTCGGTAAACACTTCGCATGCCAATAGATCTGTTCTGCAAACCATTCATTTGCAATGGACCTGGTAGTGGAGAAACGGTCCCTTAAGGCCAATAATCTTAGGCGGCGATCTTCACGGTCTGTTGTTCTACGGCGGCGTCCAGTGCCCCTTGATCTTTGCGTACGGCCTTCTCGAAGCCATGCCTGACACCACCTAACCACAGTGTCTACACTTCTTTGCACTCTAACTGCAATTGCCCGAAAAGAAAGTCCAGCTTCCCGAAGTCCCACTATACGGCCCCTATCAAACTCACTAAGTTGACGAAATCGTACTAGGCATCGTAACCGATCGTAAAGGATGTCAAGAACCAAAATCCGCCAACGTTGATTCTTTACTGCGGCTGAAATATTCATTTTTAGAGCGTTAGTGAATTAAAAAAAAAACAGTATAAAAACCGGAATGTCCAACTGATAAGGCTGAACATTTTTTCACTTGTTATTTACAGTAAGATAAATACATTCACCAACTTTTATCAAAATAAAACCATTTAAACTGGGTGTTCGGATTTATATGTCACTTAGTATATTACATATTGACTTCGGAGTATTTTGGTGTGGTAAAATAAGTGCTCCATGGCTCCTAATAAATCTATATGATTGTGGACTGATTGTATACAACATAGAGCAAAACACTATTGTTTCTGATGAGTAACTGTATCTGTTCTTCTGACTAATAGCAAGCTTTAGTTGCTCACAAATAAGTTGAATGACAGTGTGGGTCTCTTCATCGGTGAATAGTTCTGTGCTATTTAAAATATTGTAAGGATGGTTGATAGTGGCTCTGAACTGGTCTTTACCTGGATATTCCCTCGAAGCATTTGCATTCTCAAAAAGAACATGCAGAACATCATCCAAGTGGTGTATATTAGATAATAAAAATGGAGTTTTAATATTACCTGAGTTGAGTAACAATTCTTGGGAGTACATATACGCTTTTACATTGAGATCTTTATCAACAATTACAGAGTGAGTTACGATGGGTGCTGGTTTATATTCTAACTTAAACAAAGTAACTTTATCCTGAAGTCTGAATCAGTTTGAAAACAAGTTGATTTTTGATAGGAGGAGTAATCGTCAATGCTAGTTTGCAGTGCTTTAAGTAGTTGTTCTTGTTCCTTGTCCCTCAATTTCTCATCTCGGCTTCTTCTGCTTGATATGTCCTTTGAAAGGTATTTTGGACAATTTGCAAACATACTTGGAATTACATCTGCCTTTAATATGGATACTTAAGGGGTACAGTAATGGTCCTACCTGTCTTTTCGTCATGGAAGGTGGATTCCCAAATGATGCTGTCCTCAGCAAAGTGCAAATTACATACTCGCGTGTATTTTGTAACCACTAAATCACTACGAGGGATTGCATTGAGCCATCTTTTACGACAGTTTTCGTTCAGTGGAAACGAAAATACGTGTATACTTTATCTGAAGTCACTTGAAACACTGCGAAATACCGGGTGCGTTTTATATATCTATATTTAACACGCTCTGTTGCTGCAAAAATCGCCAAATTTCGCAGCAAATATCCCCCGTATAAGATCAAAGGCAGTTTCACCGGTCCACGTGGAGTAAAGCACGCCTATGCGTGGACATAGCCAATGAGAAAGCGTGTATTTCAGAGCTCGGAACAAGTGCAGGTGGCTACTGAAAATTGAAACAGTTTAGCCAGCGACGTGTAGCTGTGAATAAACGTGTTTTCTTTAGTCTGTCCGTGTCTTTTCATAGATTTTATTAATTTGTGTGTTTTTGACTTTTGAATACTCAGTTTACTTGTTGATTTAATTTTTGCGTTGATTGTTCTTGTGTGTCCTAAATATGGCTCTTTGGAGACCTTGGGAAAATGCTCCAAGCCACGAGGAGATGGTTGATGAACCTGTGCAGGCAGAATTCTTTCATAAAGATTTAGAGGAACAGACCCAAAGAGTAATCCTAAATATGTATGATTGTCTGAAACACGAAAATCCAGATTCCTCGCAAAATCAAATTTTAAACAGAATTTGTATCCTGACGAAAATCAGTCGGTCTACCATTTATCGGGTTATAAAAAGGGGAGATGTAGTCAACCATTCCTTCCACAGACAGCGCATAGGGCAAAAATTAAAAAGAATAGACGTGGGTGTTCAGGAAGATATTCGTCGTATAATATACGGATTTTATAAAGAAAATTTGGTGCCCACGTTGGAAATGCTACGGGATAAATTAAAGGATTATCCTGAAGATTTTTATAATTACAAATGCTTAGACTCACTGCACTGTATTGTAAAACTGTGTGGTTTTCAATACAAAAAATTAGATAAAAGAGTGGTGATTATGGAGTCGTCTCGAATCGTTGAATTGCGCCAAGAATTTTTGCACAAAGTTAAAATCTATAGAGAGCAGAAAAGAAATCTGATTTACCTGGATGAAACGTGGTATGATACACATGATGTTGTGCAGTACGGCTGGGTTGACGACAGCAACAAGTGCATTTTAAATGCACCATGCAACCGTGGAAAACGAATCATTATTCTCCATGCTGGCAGTGAAAATGGATTTATACCTAATGCCTTGCTGTTATCTGCCAAAAATATCAAAGAATCATGTGCCGACTATCATGAGGACATGACCTCCGACTTATTTGAAAAGTGGATAGAGCAGCAGTTAATACCAAACATTTCCCCAAATTCAGTGATTATTATGGACAATGCGCCATACCATTCCCGACAAAAAAACAAAATTCCGAATACAGGCACAAAAAAACAAGACATTATTGATTTTATGGGGGAATGGAAATACCACAAAAATCAACCAAAGCCATATTATTGGATCTTATTAAAAGACAAAAATTTGAAAAAGAGTATGTTGTTGACAATCTGCTTCAGCAAAATGGCCATGAAGTATTACGTCTACCTCCCTATTACTGCATTTTTAACCCGATTGAGTTGGTCTGGGCTGCTTTAAAAAAAAAGTAAGAAAACATAATCAGACCACTCAATTAAGTGAATCGCTATTGGCCACAATAAGAGATGTAGTATCTCATATTGCTGCCACAGACCTATGGAAGCAGTGTTCTAGGCATATTTTTGAAAAAGAAAATGAATATTGTGTTTTGCCTCCTGTAAATCCCGTTGTAATTCCTCTACAAGATGACTCTAGCGACAGCTCCGAAGGCGAGGATGATATATAAATACCTATAATGTAAGTCTTTATATACCTTTTTATACACCTACCTGCTATGTAAATATTTGCCTATGTCAAACGTTGGAATTCTGTAATTTTTCCATTTCTTAACTTTCAGTCAACATAAATTAAACTCCCAATATAAGTATTTTTTATCCCAAATCAAAAAAATAAGAAGATAGTAAAATCCATTTATTGTGATATAAAAACATTATTATTATCGTTCTAAATAAATGACCGCACGCCTATGATACGTCATGAAATTACAGAGGACGCGCCGACCAAAGGTTTTTATGCTATTTCAAGTGACTTCAGATACACCATACCTTCGGACACTTCCCGTAATTACCGACACAATTAGGAACGCAGCACTTGTAAGGTATTTTGAAAACTTAGCTAAACAATCGCGCGACACAAATATAAGTTTAAAACATCAATAATTTTCAGTTTACATGGTATTGAAAGATGAGGCTCGGAATGTGAGGTTAGTTGGCAAGGTTGCCACATCTTCCAATTTTGAATGGAATATTAGACTTCACAAGTGACGGATTGAACGTAATATCGAAAATGTATTCTTGACATACTGAGGCAGATCAGAAAGAATAATCACATCATCACTGAAGCTGAGCAGGCCCCGAGTACATCTTGCAAATTCGCCCACAGAGAGGTACAACTAACTAGTAGAGATTTCGATACTGCTATATCAAACCTATAAGAAATCATGGGTCTTCAACACATTATTGAACCGACATTGACGAATCAAGCTGAAAATTTAATCATTTTACTAGTGTAGTAGGTGTTTACTTTTCTAGGGGAGCAGCATTTGAAATCAATATGTGCGCATCGGTTTAGATATGGTGAATATGAAATGTATTTAGGGAGCTGCAATACCGCCGAGGATGATGTTACATAAGATAGTACAGTTTTCAATGATTTACAATATCAAAGCTTCAGGTAATATTTTGTTATTTATTCTATGGATTCCAAACTATAGGAAGGTCACTTTTTAAGAGCACTTTCTACCTTACCGCAAACGTGGTTCCAGCATATCTCGCTTTATTGTTGGCCTATTTTGATGCAGTTTTCAGCTCAATAACCAGACGAAAATTGTCAAGTTTAGAAATAAACTGATAGTCAAAAATAAGTTATATCATAAACCGTAACTTTTTTGTGGTATCTAGTAGTTTCCGCATAAGAAACCTATTTCCTATAACCAAGTTCCAAATTCGAAGCTTCTACGTTCACAACTAACTGAGCAAATCAAGAACTACGAGATGCATTTTCTTATCCCGTGAAATAGCGCCCCCTATCGGTTACCAGCCTAAACTCGACGCAACGGGGCGTGGCCTCATTAAGAAGCGTTTGAGCCAGCAGCGTATCTGTGGGGTATAACAGCGATGATCGGATCCTAGTGAAAAAAGAAGCAGGAATCACAAGAAAGAACATCAAAGGTAAATCTATTGTAGTTATATTCTGGCTTGGTAGATATGAAGCTACCTTTTAATTAGTTAAATGATACATTTTTAAGAACCGGAACTCCCCAACTTATCTTTGGTCGGAAGTTTTTCGTAAATTACACTTGTTAAAGGTTCATACAGATTGCAGAAAGTTGGACTTTATCATCTTTATTTTATATATTTTATTCATGATTACATTATCAGATGCGAGAAGGGGTGATCTACCATGCAGACAATGATTAATTATTTCAGAATCAAACAAGTTAGATACTTTTTAATTAACGACTTTCTGGCCTGAATTTCAAAGCTTACTTATAATAACTAAGATTGGACAATGCCTATATAAGGCATAAAATACATCTCAGAATCACAATGAAAATTTTCATTTACCTCTACAAAGTCCGATATGGCATCAATAAGAAAAAAATAAGTTGATGACTGAGAGCAAATTATGCTTTTTTTAGAGGAAAAAAAGTGGCGATGTAAATGTACTTTTTATATAGAAATGTCAAATAAGCTTTCAGAATCATTCTAAGTGACATATAAATCCGAACACCCAGTTTAAATGGTTTTATTTTAATAAAATTTTGTATAAGTACTTAATGAAGCATAATAAGTAAATGATAAAAATTTCAAAATGATTGCACTGCTTTAAAGCCCTTTGACCTTTAATAATGTGTGGATGCACCCTGATGTGCTACGCATTCTCCAACGCGCCTAGGCATGCTTCTGATCAGGTGGTCAATGTCCTCCTGTGGTATCTCGTTCCAGGCAACCACCAACTCCTCTCGAAGTGCTTGTAGAGTCTGAGGAGGACTTTGCAAATTGAGCAATCTCCTACCCATCATATCCCACACGTGCTCTATTGGGGATAAGTCGGGAGATCTTGGTGGCAATGGTAACAATGTGACATTATGTTGAAAGAAGTCTATTGTGACTCTTGCAACATGTGGTCGGGCATTATCTTATTGGAAAGTTGGGTCTGCCAGGGTGTCAAGATAGGGTAAAAGATGGGGTTCTAGAACTTCGTGGATATAACGCTGCGCGTTCATGTTACCTCTGATGAAGATTAAAGGTGACCTGGAACCATAAGCTATAGCACCCCAAACCATAACTCCAACAGTGTGATGAACATGTCTTTCAACAAAAAACTGTGGACTCCTTCTTTCACCACGTCGCCTTCTAACCCTGGCACGACCATCGTGCATGCCTAAACAAAATCGAGACTCGTCGCTAAAGACAATACTGTTCCATTCCTGATCCCAGAATCCCGTTGTCTGCACCACTCAAGGCGATTACGTCGGTGTTCTCGAGTTAAAGGGAGGACCCAGTGTGGCCGGTATGACAACAAGCCAAAACTTCTCATTCGTCGGTAAATACTTCGCATGCCAATAGGTCTTCCGTGTTCTGCAAACCATTCATTTGCAATGGACCTGGTAGTGGAGAAACGGTCCCTTAAGGCCAATAATCTTAGGCGGCGATCTTCACGGTCTGTTGTTCTACGGCGGCGTCCAGTGCCCCTTCCTCTTTGCGTACGGCCTTCTCGAAGCCATGCCTGACAACACCTAACCAGTGTCTACACTTCTTTGCACTCTAACTGCAATTTCCCGAAAAGGAAGTCCAGCTTCCCGAAGTCGCACCATACGGCCTCTATCAAACTCACTAAGTTGACGAAATCGTACAGGTCTCCGTACTCTAAGCATCGTAACCGATCGTAAAGGATGTCAAGAACCAAAATCCGCCAACGTTGATTCTTTACTGCGGCTGAAATATTCATTTTTATAGCGTTAGTGAATTAAAAAAA